GGGGGCGATTACTATACCAGATTTTAAACTGTATGATAGAGCTATAGTTATAAAAACAACATGGTACTGGCACAAAAATAGACCTCTAGATCAATGGAACAAAATTGAAGACCCAAAAATGAGTACATGCAATTTCAGCCACCTGGTATTTCCCAAAGGGGCCAAGAACCTTCACTGGAGGAAAGAAATCATGTTCAGCAAATGGTGCTGGCAAAACTGGATCTCCATCTGTAGAAGAATGACACTAAACCCCTATCTTTCACCTTGCACAAAAGTCAACTGCAAATGGCTCAAAGATCTCAATATGAAGCCTGAAACTCTGAAACTGTTAGAAGAAAACATTGGGAATGACCTACAAGATATAGGTGTAGGAAATGATTTTCTAAACTGGACATCAGTTGCTCAGGACATCAATTGCTCAGGAAACAAGGTGAAGAATCAACAAATGGGACCTCATTAAACTAAAAAGCTTCTGTACATCAAAAGAACCAAACAAGGAAGTGAAGAGAAAACCCACAGAATTGGAGAAAATCTTCACCAGTGACACATCTGACAGGTTTAACATCCAGAATATATAATGAACTCAAAAAACAAAGAATCAGGGCTGGGAGAGATGGCTCTTGCAGAGGACTAGGGTTTGATTTCCAGTACCCATATGGCAGCTAAGAACTGTTCTAAAGTCCAGTTCCAGGGGAATCCGAAGCCCTCTTCTGACCTCTGCGGCACTGCATGACATGGGTGCACTTGCATATGTGCAGGCAATACACTCATACACATAAAAAAACAAAATATTTAAAAAACAAAAAATAAAACAAAACAAAGAATCAATAAAGGAAGTAACCCAATTAGAAGATGGGCTAAGATGCTGAACAGAGATTTCTCAAAAGAATTAAAGATGGCTTAGAAGCATCTTACTCAGTGTTCAACATCATTAGTAATTAGGGAAATGCAAAATAAACCATTTTAGGATTTCATCTTACCTCAGTCAGACTGGATAAGATCAAGAAAACAAATGATACCAAACGTTGGAGAGGATATGGAGAAAGGGGAATCCACTGCTGGTGGGATTGCAAACTTGTTCAACCCCTATGGAAAGCAGTGTGGAGAACTCTTAAAAAACTACAAATGAACCGACCATTTGACCTGGTTATACCACTCCTTGGCATGTACCCAAAGAACTCATCCTATTGCAGAGACATTTGTACACCCATGTTTGTTGCTGCTCTTTTCACAATAGCTAAGAGATGGAAGCAACCTAAGTGTCCCACAACTGACGAGTGGATAATGAAAATGTGGTTCACTTATACGATGGAGTTTTACTCAACGGTAAAGAAAGATGAAATCATGAAATTTCCAGGTAAATGGATGGAACTAGAAACTGTTATACTAAGTGAAGTAACACAGACTCAGAAAAACAAACTACGTATGTTCTCCTTCATATGTGGCTCCTGGCACCAAATGCTCATAAGTATGTATCCAGACATAACTACAGGAACCAGGATAATGAAAAGGAACCAGGGAGGTAAAGGAAAAGAAAGAACCTGAAAGAGACGAACAGTAGGAAACAGGTGTTAACAAGGGGGATATGGATAAAAATTGGGTTATTTAAATGGGAAGGGGGAGAGAAGGGTATACAAGGAACCTTGTGGATAAAGGGAAAGAAGGAGCTCAAGAGAGGAGGGACCACAGGAGAAGGGTATTATTAAGGGAGAAATGGGAAAAATGGGAAACCATGGTGGAAGGGTTAGACAATGAGAGAGATAAATAATGCCTAGCTAGTTTAAAAAAAAACAGAGGGAACAATAGTAGTCCAACAACCTACTGACAAATTATACATACAACTAGCTCAAGGAACATAATATATGTCTAGTCAGGGTTTATCTGAGAATGTTTGGTTTTTGCCTAGGTTTATCTCCATAGCACATGGTAATTAAAAGTACCAGACTGGTAGAACTAACCTTATTGGATGTTTAACAGCATCCTTTGAGGCCTATACTAATTTGGTCAGAGCGACCTAAAGGACAGTTTTTGCTCCTAGCCCTCCATGGTTGACTAAGTTCCAAGAGACTATGGAGCATCTCACAAAATGTCCTGTAACTGTGGTGAATCACATATCCTCTTGATCAAGGAAGCCATGGAGACCTCACCAGATGGACTTGAACTCCTGTCTAGTCTACAAAGAGGGGGGTCAACACAGAGGAAACATTTCCTCCATGCTTCCAGGTGAAGCCAGCCACGGTCAAGCAGGACATTCGACTTATCTTCACATAGATGGAACTGGTAAAAGGAGTCAGGGGCTCCTCCCAAGTCCCTGGGACTCCTGAGGAACAGATCCTCAAACAACCTTAATAGTAAAAATAAATTGGTTTATTTGGGCCAATTGCATTGGTCTTAAACACCCAAAAGGAAAGTATAACCAAAGATTAAAGGGATCAATATAATTCTTTATGAGTCCATGTGTACAGATAAAGGCTACATAACAAGAAACAATGCCAGACAGGAGATACCTCCTTTTGAGTTGTTGGCCATGGTGGCCCAAGAGATTCCCAGACAGTAACCCAGCATAGAACTAGGAAAATGAACAGCAGACCCCAATCTTATCTAAAGGAATTTTGGCAACAGCTCCCTGCTAGATGAGGAAGAGCTGATCTTCCTGAAACAATGGACTCTAGATAGGCTGACTAGACTCAGTGGATGGACTTGCACTGGGGAATGGCTGGAGGTACTGACAACACAGTGGGCAGTAACAGGGATGACAGAGTACATGGGCTCCAGCGGCAGGGTGGGGGGCATGGGAGGGTTCCACTTGGGATGTGGGTATATAGACGAATAAGATTGTTTGAGATGTTCTGTATGAAATACCCCCCCCCACACACATACCCCCCCAAAAAATTTTTTTTATGCATAGCTAAAGGCTACATAACAAGCAACAATGCCAGATAGGAGATACCTTCTTTTGAGTTCTTGGCCAGGGTGGCCAAAGGTCTCCCAGTTCTATGCTGTGTTATTGTCTGCAAACTCATGCAGACAATAACACAGCATAGAACTGGGAAAATGAACAACACACACCAATATTATCCAAAGAATTGTTGGCAACCGATTGACACTAGAAGAAGAAGAAGAGCTGATCTTCCTAAATCAAGGGATTCTAAATAGGCTGACTAGACTCAGCAGATAGACTTGCACTGGGGAACTGCTGGGGACTGACAACACAGTGGGCAGTAACAGGGATGACAGAGTACATGGGCTCCAGCGGCAGGGTGGGGGGCATGGGAGGGTTCCACTTGGGATGTGGGTATATAGACGAATAAGATTGTTTGAGATGTTCTGTATGAAATACCCCCCCCCACACACATACCCCCCCAAAAAAAATCAAGAAATAAAAAAATGAGTTATATTTGAGGAAGAAGGATTAAAAAAAACACTTCTGCTAAGTCATGGCACAGTTTCTTTAGGAAGAGCTCACAATGAACTTCAAAGTGGCTGTCAGCCTAAAAGTTAACATCCACTTAGTTTTAATTTATTAAAATTATTTCAAAGATTTATTTCTTTTTATCTTATGTATATCAATGTTTTTCCTGAATGTGTATGCATGTGTACTAGTGTGTGAGTTGCCATGTGGGTGTTGGGAAACCAAACCTGGATCCTCTGCAAGAACAGGCAGGGCTCTTAATTGCTGAGCCTTCTCTCTATCCAGCCTCTGAAATTATTTTAAATATTTGTTTGATTTTTAAGTGACATATTGTTGCGCATTCACTTTTTACAAAAATGACATTAGGAGCCAAGTCTGTCTGAGGGAGTCAGGTCTGCCCTCAGCTCTACACAACAACTTCCTGTTTTCTGCATCTTGGAATACACTAAAAGTTTTTTTTTTTTTAATTAGTCAGATCACTTAGTCCTCTCTCCAAGAGTGACCTCACTGATAAAAGATTACATGAAATAATGCATGTGAGTTGCTTTGTACAATGTCCAGCAGGGGCTGTTTTTAAATTGCTATCCAACTCTTATCACAGTTCCTTCTCATGATCTGCTACAGATGTAAATTCCCTATTCTGTCAGTTACACTGAGTGAAATTAATGACCAAGAAATATTTTTTAGCTAAATAGCTTAAATAAGGTGAGGTATGATGTACTTAGCTATAATTCCTCAAACAGTAGTATTGAGACTTTGAGGCCAGCCTAGACTACATAACTGACACATATACACGATCCTCAAAATAAAATGAATGATGGAAAATTTGGCTAGAGAAAGAGTGAAGAAATATTCCTTCCTCAGAAAACTAGTCCATGCAAACTTTAGGAGTCAAAGTGTGTAATATTTTCTTTATATAAATTTCTGGGGCACAGGAACTGTCCTAGACTCACTGATGGATTAAGATGAGTGATGGGGGGCTGGAGAGATGACTCAGTGATTAAGAACACTTGCCATTCTTTCAGAGGACCTAGGTTTGATTTCCAGTGCCCACAAGGGAGCTAACCAATGTCCGTAACTCCAGTTCCACGGGATTTGTCACCCTCTGCTGGCCTCTGCTGGCATTGCACACACATGGCACACTTAACATACATGTAAGCAAAACACCTATACACATATAAAATAAAAATAACTAAAATATTGTTTTAAAGAGACACATGACTGAATCATGGCTGGCACTCCATGGAGGCAATACTGTCATCATAGTTGTAGGAAAGAAAATTGGGAATTCAAGACTAACTGTGGAAAATCTATGTATGGAACAAAATGCATACCAATACTGCCGTTTTTATGGAAAAACCCCTAAAAGTGAAAGCACGGCAAGATGCTTGAAAAGGGAAAAATATACACTTTTATTGTTTCCCAACTAATAGTCATTATCATCTTGAGTGAAAAGAGCCCACTGTCTAACACACAGGAAATTTTGGTATTTATTAAACACATATTGTAAGATATTTAATGACGTTTTTGTTTAGGACCTAGGACCAAATGAAGCATAATGCTATCTTGGACTTTCATAGAAACTTACCAATGAGTGGGTATGGAGCTGCTTCTTTTCCAGAATTAACCCACAGCTGGTAATCTCTCTCAGAGCCCTTGGAGAAGAAGGAAAAATCAAAATAAGAAAGCTTTCATGTTAGGTACCTGAATGAGGATATAGTTTGGGGTCTTTTTAGACTACACAAGTTTGTGGGGTGATTATGGTTTGGGGGATGACAATGCTTATTTGTACAACCCATCTCCCATTCCACATGTGGCTCTAGCTCACCCTGCCCCTGTGCTGGCTAAGGACCCAGGAATTGCAATGTAATCAGAACTTCAATACCACCAACATCCTACAAAATGTGACATCATAGGTAGCCCCTCTATCAAAGGAAGAATATACTTCCTGGTCCGGAAATACTATTTCTACGGCTGGAGAGATGGTTAAGAGCACTGGCTGCTCTTACAGAGGACCCAGGTTCTAGTCCCAGCACGCACACAGTGGCTAACAGCCATCCGTTACTCTAGTTCCAGGGGATCCATGCCTCCTTCTGACTGCAGAGAACCTAGGTTCTGTTCCCAGCTCCCACATAGTGGCTAACAATCATCCGTAACTCCAGTTCCAGGGAAACCATGACACCCTCTTCTGACCTCCATGGGCATTGTATGACATGGGTGCACTTACATACATGCAGGCAATACACTCATATACATTAAAAAATATTTAAAAATTTTAAAAATGTTATTTTTGACTTTTGAGGGCCTTTGAACTTCTTAGAGAACACCAAACTTAACCTCCGACATGGCCCTGCAAAATCAACCTTCTGTTCCAGAAAGCCACAAACACTGCCGTGTCCATTATTAAAATGTAAAGGCTCAAGGGCCTTTAGATCATTAGTCCAGTTGCCTCTGAGAAGGGGAAGAAAGACCAAGAGGCTTTGTGACCATAGATAACTAGTTGGCACAGGCTGCACAGACTTCGGTTGCGGCAAATTCAGTCCTGAGGACAGAAAGGGTAAGAATTCTGTGTAGAGTGTATGCACAGTCGTGGGAAACAACAACATTGTTCACTGGCAGAACTACAACTAAGCAATACTATAAATCCCACGTGAAAGAATATTTAGAAAACTACACAGCTTTTGCTGAATCCTCCTGGGGGGATCCAACATATATAAGAAAATGAATCATGAATTAGCTAATTTCCTTTCCTAACCTAAAGCTATTCACTCTCTTCCACGGTATGCTAGAATCAATGCTGAAATACTTGCTTTACCCACTGCATACACAATTTAATTATATTTTAAGCATATTATTAACTTTGACTAATACATTAGATTTCTTATCCCAAAGTTTGGTTGTCTTGAGTTATTGAGGGCTTAGTATAGCATTGTATAACAGCAAATCTAAACATGATCACAGTAATACTACATGTATTAAATGTGTCATGTCATATCATAGTGTTCCGTTAATTACATTTATTTTATTTGGTGGTGTGTGCACACATGGGTGCACACAGGTATGTGTGTACATGGTATGATGCATGGGTGGAAGTCAGAGAACAACTTTCAGGAATTGGTTCTCTCCTACTACGTGGGTCCTGGATATCAAACTCAGGTTGTCAGGTTTGGTGGCAGGTGACTTTTCCTGCTGAGTCATTTTGATGGCCCATAGCATAGTGTTAAAAAGAAATCTCAATCAAGAGATGCTGAGGTCTTTCTTAGTTTTCATTCTTCTGAAAGTCCCCCAGTTCTAAAAGCATCCTCCATGGGGTACTAGTAGGGAGGCAAAGGGAGGCCCTTCCAATTTTCTTTCCTGACCTCATTCTCAAGTAGTCAATCTTCTCCATTGTTAAAATTTGAGAAAATTGCCCCTGCCTCAGAAAACAAAGGGGCACAGTTAAAAAGAAAACAGACAGCAAAAAGACAGACTGACTGAGGCTCCTCAAATCCATGCCAGGATTCAAAGTTGGCTTTTTATTTTCTAATTCTTAAGAACTGGCTGTCATCCTCGGGACTTGTGACCAGTCAATATACTTGTAGATCAGTACTCTTTAGGGCAAACCAATGATGGAGCAAATCCTTCAGAACTCACTATCATGCTAAGGCTGAGTCTTGGAATAATATCAGGATAACTTGATCAGGAGGTGAGGAACAGATAAACACAGATGAGAAGGAAGGAGTGAAGGAGGTTAAAACTTTCTTATTAAGAATCTTTCACCAATTCTTTGTGTATGTATGTACATAGGATCTGAAATAACAATCCATAATATCTCTAAAGTTATAGTCTAATCATTCTGCTTTTCCAGCCACACAGGCTTTAAAACAGAAGAGTAACACCTGTATATCATGCTAATATGAAGGCTTTGTTATTCTTGTTTTCTACATGTTGGGGAGAGAAAGGTAATGGTCATATCGAATAATTAGTTGTCTTACGATGAAAAAGATAATAATTACATCTAAATTACTAAATAGTACTTTGACTCTAAAATATCAAAGTTTATAGTAAAGAGTACCTAGGAGGTGAAGCAAGAGGATCTCAAGTTCAAGACCGGCCTGAGTTACATTGTAGGACGTGTTTTATAAAGAAAAAAAAAAAAAAATCCAGCAGAGTAACTTACAGTTATCCCTAGCATTTGCAATGACATGTTGATAACTTCACTTGCTGTGTCTGAATTCATTACTGTTATAGTTTTAAACTGTGGAAAAAGAAATAAAAATATGGACATAAATAATTTAAAACAGTAAACAAATCATTGTCAAATGATTAGCCAAAGGTAAATCTTGATTTCAATTGGGGAGAGAGTAAAGCGAAAGACTGAGTAGAACACAAACCCTCGGTAACAGTTCTTTTCCTTCTCAGATATAGTACACCCTTTAATGAGACATTTATTTCTCTTAAAGGATGTGGCTCACAGAATGAAAGGCCTTCAGAAAGTTCTGATAGTGAGAGGGCACAGACCCCACTCACTCGCACACACACCGTCCCGTTTCTACAACAGAAGGGGAATAAGGGCAAGGTTCAAGCTGGGTATCTTTCTGTTTTTGTTTTTGTTTTTCTTTTCTGGGTACTGTTTTCATAGTGTGGGGTTTCACTTCTTTGCGTGGTGTAAAATCAGGTAAGGAGGAACCAGAGTGAGAACTGGTTGCAAACAGCATTTGAAATTGGCAATGATGAAGGACTTCCTTTGTGTTCAGCAATGAAGCAGCTTAACTTTTCAGTGCTGAAATCCTGAAAGGGCTTAAGATTCATGAGTCTAGGAAAGGGTGAAAATTTCAGAAGATTTTGTTAATAGAATAGAGCGTCTATAACTAGTTCTATGCTACACTACATTGAGAGTTACTACTTAAAGATAAAGATAATCCACAACAGAAAGGTCTGACAAGGTTTTGAGCAATTTGGAGAGTACACTGAATTCCAGAAGACAGTACATAAAGTGTTATGCTATCAAGACATTTTTTTGATATGCCCGTAGGTGCATATGATTATGAGAAAAAAATCAGCAATTAATGCTACGTCCCTGGACAGTTGGGGCTAACCTGGCACAACGAAGTTGCACAAACAGAAACAAAGGGACATAAAAGCAAAAGGAGAAACAAAAGCTAACCGAGATCCACTGAAGACGTTTCACATGTCTATCTTTTACAGTATTTCTTCCCCATAAATCAAGTACTTGACAAGAAAAATTGTTAAATTCATTTTTAAAGAGCATTTTAAATGTACTGATCTAAAAAAAGCTTTTTGTATATCCCAGGAATGTTACCAAAATGTCTGAGAGAGCAACAGGGAGGACTGGGGCTTCCCAACTCCAGATCTGTCTTCTACCAATCAGGCTTAAACTAAGCTAGGCTTTTAGAGAAGCCTTTTGCTTCCTCCCCAATTTTGAAAGCCCATCCACTCAATTTAAGAAACTCTGCCAAAAAGCCTTTTGTATAGTAATGTGTCTGTCTTCCCAGGTTCCTAGTTTCTAAGTTTTTTAAAAATAAAAGGGACATACATTCAAAACTCTAATTACAGAACTATATTTTTCCTGCATTATCTTTCTGGGAGACAAATGAGTTTCAACAGATAGAGCTCTTTGACTAGTAAACAAATATAAAACAGACAAAACTGAAAACGTGGCAAGTCTGTTCTAGTTCAGCAGAATCCACTAGTAGGTTGTGTACAACGTAAAGCCACGGATTAAAACAAATACCTTTCATAATTATTCCTAGTTGAAGACTCACTCCCGGAGCCTGGCTTCGGTGGCCCTGCCACCGAAGTTGCTTTCCGGAACAAAAGCCAGTGTACTACTTTATCCTTGGTTTACCATGGTTTTACTGATATAAACAGAGCATCCCACTGACTACATCTCTCCCCTTCAAAATGAGTAGGACATCGTTTTTTTGTTTTTTTTTCTCAATCACATATTTTCTGTACATAAAAAGTGATTAAAAATTGCAATTTTCCATGAAAATCCTTAATGTAACCAACTGAATCAAAGCAAGCAGAAACACATTAGGTTTTTTCTTTTTTCTTCTTATTTGCTAAGATTTCTATAGTTTCTTACCCTAAAATTTAAGTATTTCCTTCAAGCAGTGTGGTCTGTCACTCAGAAATTGGTCTGAATGTTTATATAACATTCTCTTTTTACTAAAACATAATTCTCCTATACTACATACGTTTACATGCACACAATTATTTTAGAGTGATTTAGAGTTGCTGTGCAGTATTACAGTCTACGGCATCATAAATCTGTAAGCCTCCATCTTGTCTATGATTGATAATGTTTTGGCTCTTATCCCACAATTTCAGTCAACAAAGCACACATAATGGGGGTTAAAGACAATATTTATTGGACATTATAATAAGTACTGTAAGGTAGGAACATGCTGAACCCTTAATAAAGTCATCTCTTTTAGATCATTCATCCTTTAATCTCAGGGATTTAATCCATAAGAACTCAAAGAATGAAGAAATATTCAAAACCACTTGACTTTCAAAATCACTTGACTAAGAAGTGGCAAGATGGGAAAAGTACTTGATACTAATAGGAAATACCTCTTTGTGGCTTTACTGCAAGCTTCTGCAGCTGTTATTGAAAAGATCCAGAGAAATATTCATGTCACTGAGAAGAGCTTTCTGACAAGCAATATTCCTTCCAAGGGTGAATTTAAATCCTGTGGTTAAGATGAATTCCCTCTGCTTCACTCTTTCCTGGGCTTGTTTTTCATACACACAAAGATAAACACAAATGCATCTCACCCTGTGACACTTATAAATGCCTGCCTTCTGTAGCGCACACAGTCTATCTGTCGGCCTGACTATCTCTTCTTATTCATGATGTTTTCTATCTTATGCAGGGATCTGGCTTAGAAACACTTACATAGGCACAATTCCCAATGTCCTTGGCGAAGATTTTGAGGGGAATGCTCTTCGGGAAGTCCTTCTCTTTTTCTAGAGTGATGTATCTAATCAATGCAAATACAACCCAAAACAACACTGAGTCAGATGGAATTCACTAACAGCTTATTTAAAAAAAAATCAACCTGTTTTGATAATATTTTCAATGTACTTATATGCTGTTTTTTTTTTTTAAGACACATGAAAGACTCAGCAAAATCAGATTATATTATGGGTTGAAAGTGATTTTTTTGTTTCAGGACATTAGGCATAGGCACACAAAAGAATGGGACATCTGTGTCAAGTGAGGTTGGAGAGGCAGAGCCAGGTTAAGATACCTCTGAGTGATGTGCTAGTCTTAATGCCTTCCTGTGTCCTCTGAACTGCAACTTGTTGATGAAGACCTGATCATACAACACTTGACTAAGCCAACCCAAAGCAATGGACTTTCCCTTCTCATTTAGCTCTCCAGTAGAGTGTGAATCATGATTACCCCATTGCATGTGGAGTGGGAGAGGGAAGGAAGGAGGGAAGAACTGGGTCTAACTGAAGGACTATTTTACTCTGTATACTCAATGGTGGGAATGAGAACTGAAGAAAAGCCTTGCAATTATGGAAGTGTCAAACGCACTCTGAAGAAGTTATTAGCTCCAGTTGGTATCTTGGAGACTTCAGAGAGAGAGATGGAAGAAAGGTACTGACTGATTTCTCTCTAATGTGATCCAACCAGACCTGAATGTTCTCTTTCCTAGAAAGAAGAAATACTTGTAACAAGAGAACATTATTTACAATTAAGTACTAGTTGGTATATAATCTAAACAACAGCTTATTTGAGGACAAATGGACAATTTCTATTAAAGAGGAGGGGAATACTTTGGGGGCACATCTCCACAGTAAAATGCTTTGTTTAACCACAGGTTAATAACAGTAAGATTAAAAATATGTGTACTGAAAAAATACCTCTGAAGGAGAGAGAGCCATTTGTCCTTTTGTTCTGGAGAACTGCAAAGAAAATGGAAGAGAAATAAAACCATGTACAATACTTATGCCTACATTTTAAAGCTTGCCAATCCAGATGACTATATCAACAGCCTGCTGTTCTTAACTTAGCTATACATTTGAGCTGTGAGCTTGACACTGTGCTCTGAAGATGCTGCAGGCATTTTTAGCCTGGGAAAGATGACATAGTCTAGGATAGTTTAATGAAGTCTGCTTACATAGAGTCAAGAAAGATGCATTTTAATACTTTACTGCTCTTTCACAAATGATATCATACCAGAGCGAGGCAGCTTGTTCAGTGGAGAAAATATGTGAAGATCAACTATTTAGTTTTAAAACTGCACGCAGGCTGAATAATCATGGGCAAGCCACTTCACCAAAGCCTCAGTTTTCGTACTTGCAAAACTGGGTTACTTAATCTCTCCTAGAGTTTTTACAACTTGAACAGTCATTCATACAAACAGAAAGTACGCTTAATATTGAGATCAAAGAGAAATTTGGCAAACGGGTAGAAATGTCTTGGCCTAGAAACCAGTCTATTTTCAAGAAAAGAAACATTTTTTTCTATCATATATACACAGGACAAAATTAAAGTTTAGTAAGTTAGCTCATAAAACATATTTTTAATTAGTAAGACCTGATTCATTTGAATTTACGTACAAATTAATGCCATTATATTTCTCCTGTCACTGCTCATTTTATTTTCAAAGATAAAAATCATCTTGTTTATTCTTCCAGTCTTATCAGTCACAAACTTTTCAAGTCATATTTCTAATTTCTATAGAGAAGTTCAAAACATTTTCTTGTACTAGAAACATATTTAATACATATTTGTAATCTGTTTTAAACTTTGTTGCTTAACTAGTTCTCTGTAAACAATATTCTAGGGTTGGCAATCAAATGTATAACACATAGTTTTCTTTTTCCATAGACCATATAGTAATTCTTTGCTATCTTTCTTATATTCTGATTTTCCTTTTGGAAGAAAGAACCTCAATTGAGAAATTACTTAATAGCGGATGTCCATGTCTTCAGGGCCTTTGATTTTCTTATTTTTTTGGTATTTTTTATTGAATTTTTGTGCATTTCATGTAATAGAACTTAAATTTAAACCTCTCCCCTATTTGTACTCCCATACCCCCCACCAGATCTCATGTGTTCTGTCATATATGACTTTTAAAACCCTTTTTCTAGGTTCAGGTATATAAAAACGTTGATGTACCGAAAAAAGTGTTGAAAGTAGATGTTTGCTTTTGATTCATTAACTTTTTTCTAAGCAGGTAAAGAAAACTACTCCTTTAAAACAGTATTTCTTTAAACTTTTAACTGACATGACACAGAAAACTTTTATAAACCTTAAATGTACAGTTTAAGGATTCTTTACAAATTGTAGGTTGTGAAACAATCACCTTGGAAGGTCTTCTACCCTCCATTCTTGGCACTCATTCCCTATCCTGCTTTCCAACAGCATGGGAGGGTTTGCTCGTTTGGTAGTTTATATAGATGCATACTACATAAATGTATAGTATGTACTGCTTGCATCTGTTTTTCATTCTAACAGCTGTGGCTGACTCAGACTGCACACTGCTTCAGTCCCCAAAGATGGTGTGGGTTTGTAAACTTGGGCCGCTTGGCACCTTGATAAGGCTGCAGCCTACCCTTCAGCCCAAAGCCTTAAAAACAGAAATTCTGAGTGCTGGTCTTTTTCCACGTGCTACCTCTACTGCAAAATCTCCCAACTTTTGTCCACTCCCCAGAATTTTCAGGTAGTTACGGTTGTTGGTACACTGTTCAGATTTTAAAGTTGTTATCTATAGGGCAATCTGTCTGTTTATACCAGAGGCAGAAGTCAATGATTTACTTTTTAGAAAGATACTTAATTTGCCAGGCAAGGTGGCACACGCCTTTAATCCCAGCACTGAGGAGGCAGAGGCAGGGGGATCTCTGAGTTCAAAGCCAGCCTGATCTACATAGTGAGTTCCAGGACAGCTAGGGCTACAGGGAGACCCTGTCAAAAAAAAAAAAAAAAAAAAAAAAAAAAAAAAAAAGACAATTTGGAAAAAGTTGGTTTCCAGAAAAGTTATATAGAAAACAGTACATTCCTGTCTACTGTCCAGCCAGTTCCACCTTGCTCTTCTGTTACCTTACATTGTCTTGGCCTATTTGTCAAAACTGAGAAACACTGGTACTTATGACTAATCAAATATTGACCTTCAGATTTTACCAGTTCTATAGATACCTAGAACATCTAGGAACCAATCCAGGACAGCACATTTTATTTAGGGGATATATGTCTGTACATGTTTCTCAGTCTTTCCTACTTCTGTGTTTCACTCTGGCAGTTTTGAGTAGCAGCGGTTAGGTAATCTATAGAATTTTCTTCAATTTGTGTTTTCCAGATGCTTATGTCATGATCAAATTAGGGTTATATGGTTTTTTGTGGAAGGGGAATGAATACTACAGAAATAAGTTGTTCTTCTCCTCAATTGTATTACGAGGTATATGGCATCCAGATGATATTACTGGTGATGTTAACCTGGATCGCATTCTTAAAAAACCATGCTGTTTGCAAGCAAAACGCTCTGACATTTTCAAACCCTCTAAAAAGGAGTAGAAATTCTTTGATTAAAATATCAGGTAGTCACCTCTCACCTGAAATTGCTTCCTTTTTACCATGCAGCTTAAACACTGAAAGTAATATTATCTTTAGAAATCTGTCATGGAAATGAAACAAAGAGAAAAACACAAAAATGTGCTTCTTCCAAACACGTCCTTAAAATCTTGTAGCAGGTCAACACTGCACAACAGCAGTCAATGGCATGCCTGCCCCTTATTTAAAGAGCAGGTCTGGCAAGTTTTAGCAGTCTGGATTTAGGATGATGCCCGAGTAGTTTGGTAATACAATAGGAAGAGGAACAGAAGGAAAAGTCTCCCGTGCATGTGAGGAACAATAACTCCTTAGATGTAAAACAAACACTGGAGTTGAATACAGCTGCCCAGTCACAGGTGTGACTCTGAACCATAAAGTGTCAAAAAAAAATCATGCTCAGACTGAAAGCCAATTAGTCTGTATCCACGCGTTCTCCAACCACATACAGACTAGGAGCAAGGCTTGGAAGATTAATTTTCACCTTATCATCTAAATACACTTTTGATTACCATGTAATCAGAATATACAACTCAGGAAGCTCGGTATTTTATGATGTTAATTTTAATTGTATCATTAAAAGGTATTTCTTTAGAAAATCTAGTAATAAATAAGTTATTCAAAAGTCAATCAAATAGACCAGTTATTCAAGCTTAATTGGGCTGGTTTATAAATAATGATTAGTGAAAGTTATTTTAGTTGTTTGAAAAGACCAATAAGACTTGAAGCTTCAGTATTTAAAACAAATACCTAGACATTAAGTGGGGAGGGTTCCTGGATTGATCACTTGATTGTAATTTCATAACAGCACCAATGCCCTTACTTTTCAGTTGCATCATTAGAATTCTTCAAATATTTATTTATTTTTATTTTATGTGTAGGAGTATTTTCCTTACATGTGTGTATGCAATGCCTGCAGAGGCCAGAAGAGGGCACTGGATGCCCTGGAACTGGAGATACAGATAGTTGTTAGCCACCATGTGGGTGCTGGGAATCAAACCCAGGTCATCTGCAAGAGCAGCTAGTGCTTTTAACTGTTGAGCCATCATTTTAGCCCCAGTAGAACTCTTTAAAAACCACTAGCTAAACCAAGGTAAATTCTTCCACCAGTTCCCAATATTTATCACTAATTTTCACATATTTTAATCAAAAGGTCTTCAGCTGGAGAGTTGGCCATGCGTGTACTCTTATTCTGTGTTTGTAGCAGACGATGAATCACTTAATACACAACCAGAACAAAATATTTTCCTTAAAAATTAGGCAGAAAAAGTTGTTAAAACGGTTTCTCTTCATCTTAGACGAGGCTATAGCAGCTAGCCCAGGAAAGCACAGGTGAAGCTGCGGTTCTTACCTGAAAGTGGCCACAAAGTTCACCGTGGGCCAGCCCAAGACAAAGGATTTCAGGGCGTTGGTGTTTCCTTCTCCTACTTCATCCACACAGCTCGCTGTCCACATATCAGTTAGTTTTATTTTGTTTTTTATCTTAAAGTTGTTGTTATATCTAGAGATAAAAAACAAACAGGATCTCCTGTTATTTTGTTTCCTAAGTTTTACAGACAGCTCTGTTCTTGTTGTAAGAGGGCCGTTTCTACTAATCATGGGCAAAGAATGTCCTATTGTTCCTATATTCCAGCCACGGCACAGTAGATTATAACATGGTTGGGTACCTAGGCCTTTGAAACATTTGGGGAAACCGTTTTCATGCCTGCATTAACAGCAACAAATGTCTGTAAATAATTTGTTTTTCTATATATTGAGTACTGAATTTGAAATAAAAGCCTAATTTAAACATTTCTGTTATAAACATTAATATTTTTAAAACATTCATTCTTTTTCTATGTGCCTCCGTGTCTCTGCACCGTGTGTGTCTGGTGCCTGTGAAGGCCAGAAGAGGGCCTTTCATCCCTTGGAACTCTAGTTACAAGCAGTTTGAGCTCCATGTGGGTGCTACGAGCCAAACCGGGTTCTCTGGAAGAACAGCAAGTATTCTAACCACTGGGCCTCTCTCTAGCTTCTAGCTTATTGCTTAAAATTTAAAATTATTGCCAGGTATGGTGGCACACTCCTTTAATCCCAACACTTGGGAGGCAGAAGCAGGCGGATCTTTGTGAGTTCGACGCCAGCCTGATCTACATAGTGAGTTCCAGGACAGCTGGGGCTACAGAGAGACCCTGTCTCAAAAAGACAAAAAATTCAAAATCATTTTAGTGAATGAATATAAAAACATGATTTATGGAGCTGGAGAGATGGCTCACAGCTGGCTGCAACTTCAGTTATAGGTGATCTTATGCCCTTCTTCTGGCCTCCACAGGAACTGCATGCATGTGGTACACAAATGTAGATGCAAAACACTCATGTACATAAAAATAAATCTTTAAAATAAAACGTGACTTATAAAATGTTGCACATCGCCCTCTTATGAAGTACAGAGGAGCCTAGAACTAGAGGACGAAATAATACATTTTTCAACTGAGTGGTTGCAAGGCTTGTTGTCCTTTCAAAGTACAGGTTATCTTAAATTTCCTTTCTTAAAGCTTTTTCCAACCATTATATTCTTGTAAAAACTGGAAAGTTGTAATCTAAAAACAGAACCAAACTAGAAAAAAGAATAGGATTAACACAATTAGCACCCAGCATTGGGGACCTAGAAAGTAACCTATTTAAAGTCAGCAGTAAAATTGCTTTCTGGAAATTTCTCCCTCATCTCCCTTAGACACTTGACATGAACATACCATATATTTTGACCTACTTTGTATGTTTAACATTCAAGATTGGAAAAATTGAGAAATATAAAGAGAATGCCCAAGGAAATGATATTTCTTAGTATGCAGAACAATTTATGTAGATAAAAGCTACAAAGGAATCAAAGATATCTCTTATGGAAAGTAGCCTCAAACACCTCTAATTCATAGAATATTTAAAGTTAAAACTCAAGTGAGATTTATAAAATGAAAAAGGACTTTGATAGCAGATGAACATCTCTCAGAGGAGGGGATGCTGTCAGCTGACCTGTCCTGAACTTTGAAGGAACTATATCTAAAAGGTCATGTAAAGTCAAAGCCTCATCTCTTCCTCCCACAGGATGTAACAGAAAAATGCCTGTGGCACGGTGGGTTCTTTCTGTACTTTGCTTCAGCATTTGTTATGTTATTGATATGAATCTTGAAAGTTTTTATGAAACATCCATCACAGACAAAAATCAGTTTCTTGAGGTTTTGCCCTATTATTTATTTATTTATTATTTATTATCTATTTATTTATTATTTATTTGTTACTAGGTATTGACACTAGGGTCTTACACATGCTAGGCTAGAGCCACACATCTCCAATCCTCTTTTAATTTTGAGAGAGGCCCCACTATGTTTCCCAGGTTGGCCTTGAACTTGTGATCCTCCTGTCCCAGGCTCTGCAGTAGCTGGTATTATAAGCCTGAGCCACCACATCCAGCTAAAATATTATCTCTTGATTACAATTGTTTAGGTAATGTTATCAAACTAACCCTACAAATCTTTTGGAATAAGAGGTACTATTTTGTATTTGTTTTTATGAACTTTGTGTTTTCTAATTCAGGTCTCCCTATATTACAATCTTTAGACATTCTGTAGGAATTTCTATATCTGTTGATCTAGAAAAAAGTCATGCTAATAATTTTCCCTAGTTCAAGAACGTGTCAAGATTATATATCTCTTGCCTGAAAGAAAAAAATTCTCTGAAAGTATGACTTCCATTCTCCTGTATTAAAATAATGGCTAAATATTTATAGAGAATTTATCACATGCGAGAGTTCTAAATGCTTTGTTTCCCTCTTTTTAATTGAATTTTTGAACTTCATTATTCTATCTGTACCCCCTTACAATCTCCCCCCATAATTTCATGAACTCTATTATATATATTATATATGATATCCATCTATCCATATAAAGGGCTATAGAGTCAAGTTTGTGTCCTTAAGTACCCTTCAGTGTGGGTCCATCCACTGGAGCTGGGGTTAACCAACTAAAAAGCACACCCTTAAAAAAGACTGCCTCTCTTCTTCCCAGCAACAATTCATTGGCTACCACTACTTCAGGGTCTCCCTGTAGCACCAGCTGGCCTGGAACTCACTATGTAGACCATGCTGGCCTTGATCTCACAGAGATCTGCCTGCCTCTGCCTCCCAAATGCTGGGATTAAAGGTCTGCTCTACCACACCTGGTGTTGTTCCAAATACATTAATATTTATTTATTTCATTTAATCCTCAATCATTGAAAAACTGTCATTTACTTTTACTTATATGCATGTGTGTGCCTGCTTTTCTGTGACTACATGCATACAAGTGCCTGCAGAGGCCAGAAGAGGATTGTCAGAGTCCTTGGAACTGAAGTACAGGCAGTTATTAGGTAACCAATGTGGGCACTGGGAGCCAGCTCTGGGCTCTACAGAAGCAGTAAGTGCCACCATGCCTGGCTCCCAGGGAAATTAACAAAATTATCTGTATGAGTGCACAACCTGCATGTATGTAAGTATACTTGTGTCATGTAGTACTTGCGGAGGTTAGAATAGGGTGTTTGATCCCCTGGAACTGGAGTTACTGATGTTTGTTAGTTAGCTGTTTGTTAGTTGAAGCAGGTTATTCATTACAAAGGAAAGACTAACTTAATGTCAGAAAAGCCACATGTTTGAGGACTCCTCTATAACATTTAGAAGAAAATAGAAGACATATTGGTTTAGAGAATGGATTTTGGAATAAGATAGACTTTGGTTCATATATTGGCTCAACTAATTATTAACTTTGTAATGTTAGGAACATCACTTAACTTCTTTCAGTATCGATTTATTTTGTAAAGTGAGGAAAATCATATTCAACTCAGAAGAGTTATATAAGCTAAACTCTTCAGAATAATAAATAAAATACAGTTAGGTTCTAACAAGTTCTCCATTTTTCTTGTCATTAGTATACTACTCAAATTAAATCCAGTTTTGACAAATTATTACTTAGCCTTGCCCATGCTTTACTTTTTATGACATGGCATAACAGGTTGTGAGTATAGATTTTAAAATGTGTTTATTATTATCTAGTGACTAAAAGTCACTTTGTTGAGAATGGATTTGTTAAAATAGTCTGATACTCCATGATGTTTCATAAATAACAAGAAAGAGAAATGGAACATGGGGCAGCCAGTACCTTGTAAAGTTGAGTGCTCACTGAATTGGCAGTTAGTGTTAAATAGGAAATTAATTCTTTTAGGAACCTCTGAAGTATATTCCAAATATGTCAGTAATGTTGACCTGAAATGCTGTTTCCCCCTATCACTTTGTACGGGGCCACTACCACAACCTCTTGCCTATTCTCCTTGCTTCTACCTTTACCATTCCTCCAACCCATGATCTAAAATAAGAAAATTTTAAAAATGAGTCCCATTAAGACCCTCTGCATTTGAACAGCCTAGGTAACATAGCTTTGATGCCAGGCTTCTCAGATATCCCCCAGTGATTTCTGTCTTCTAATTACCTCTTGTGAAGTTCCCTTCCATGCAATGTCCAGGTTGCTCTGTGTGGCCAGTAACATAGGTCAGAGATGGTGTTACTTTTAGGTTTTTCTTTGTGAAGGGAGCAGGCTCCATGTTATGAGAACCACTTTGGAGAAGTTCAAGTGCAGAGGAACTATAGACAACGAGGAACCGAGGCTGTGAGAGTCCTCAGTCCTCATGAGTCAGCTGAGAAGTGAATTCTCCAGTCATGCCCTAAGAAGACTGCAACCTCATGAGGGCCTTGAGCCAGAAGTACCCACTTAAAGACTCCAGAGTCTTGATTCAAACTGCATAGGATATTTGCAGTTTTAAACTGTTATGTTTACAGGAATGTGTTATACATCTCACTATCTTAATGGTTAGTTGCTTTTTACCCTTTGATTCTTTACCCCTAACTACTAACTCAATGTACACCCTCATCTTTTACTTCACACTCGAGCACAAAGGTCTCCAATTTATAGCAATAATCACAATCTGCAGCTATTCATACACACATAAAATCGTAAGGTCTCACGTGATCTCCCCCAAGAATGTAAGTTGCAGAGGAGCAGGGACTACACCCATCGTGTTCTTCAATGCACCACCTCCATTTACTCAGGTTACGGCAAAAACAGGGATCTAAGTGAACACTTGAATCAACCGCCAGTTTTAAAAAAAAAAAAAAAAAAAACAACAAAATGAACATAAAACTTTTAGGATACCAGCTACAGCTACACGGGCCAGTCAGTCCCACAGTCAGCACTGAGTAGAGATATAGCATCTTGCGAGTGAAAACAGAGCTATCAAATGATCCTTGGGGAGTGCATACAATTTACTTACTTGATTTTGGCTGCAACAAACAGATCATTGAATAAGAAAAGATGACGCTCTTGCCTCTGTAGACCTCTTTTAAGCTCCACTGGACCATCAATGAGCAGAGTCCTACTGGAACAGACAAATGAGGACAGAAACGCACATGTGTCGATGCTGGCAGAAGGGCTGTCTCTGAAAAACACCACACACCACACATCAGTTAGTTGAATGGTCAACCACAAGACAAAGGTTTCTACAATTATGGCTGATAGTGGGTTGTTTTTTTTCAATGCAATCATACAGTGTCTTTATTGGTCTCCCTGCTGAATTTTTATATATGGTCTCTTAGCATTTCATTATGAATTTTTTTTTCATGCTGAAATTTTTTTTCATTGAAAAAATATTTTCTTTATTATTTTTTAAATTTTTTATTGAGGTTTCATACAACAGTTCTTAATCAAATTTAGATCACCATCTCTATCCATATCCCCCTGCCCCCACAAGACCGCATGTATTCTGCCACACATGTTAAGCCCTATCCAATCAAGCATTTATTTAATTTTTAATTGAATTTTTATGTATTTTATAACTGATTACACTAAGGAAGAGCTGATTTTCCTAAAACAAGAGACTCTAGATAGGCTGACTGGACCTCAGTGGATGGACTTGCTCTGGGGACTGTCTGGGGTCACTGACTTGACACATTATGAAAAATTTTAAACGTGAAGCAAAATTGAACAGTTTTACAATAAACACATATATAATTTAAACTGGACACTACCATTAAAAATTTACCATACTTGAATACAAACTTCTGGGCCCATATGGATCTCTGTCAAAACTATTCAACTCTGCCCTCATATTGAAAACTTTATCACAAATGCTGCGTAAATGAACAGGTGTGGCTATGTTCCAGTAATACTCCAGCAAAGCAAGCAGCCTGCCTGGTCCATATTTTTTGCTAACTCCTGGCTTAAACAATGCTTCTAAACCCTAGGAATGCTTTAAAATAATGACTGTTCTGAAATAATTAGGGAACTACCATTATTATTTGCTTGAGAATAACCTAAGACAACAGTTAATTTGGTCCATTTAAAAATGTCTTGTATTTTAAAGCAAAGGATTTTCATATGTAGTAACTCATTTTTTAACCTCTTAATAACCTCAGATAAGGAGATTTGGTGGTAGTGTTGGGAAAAATTCACAAAGAAACAAACATTTTTCTATGTGGCTATAGGAACATGTAAGATTATTTTAATGTGTATGAGTGTTTTCCCTGCATGTATGCAAGTGCACCACGTGTGCAATGTCCATGGAGGCTGGAAGAGGGCTTTAGATCCCCTTGGTTTTGGAGTTACTAATGGTTGTTAGCTGTTTGCTAAGAACCAAACCAGGATCCTCTGCAAGAGCAGCCAGTGCCATCTCTCCAGCTAACAGCCTTATATCCAGCCCCCAGCATGCACACATAGTATGGAAAAGGGAAGGAGTAAGTGCACACCCTTCTACTTAACCTCTTTTTTCAAAAAAAATATTTATTATTTTTATTTTATGTGTATGTATGTATTGCCTACACGTATGTAAGTGAACATGTGTCATGAAATGCCTGTGGAGGACAGACAAGGTCATCAGATCCCCTAGAACTGGAGTTTCAGAGAGCTGTTAGCGGCCATGTGGGTGCTGGGATTCAAACCCAGGACTTCTGCAAGAACATTCCATGTTCTTAGCTGCTAAGCCATCTCTCCAGCCCTCTACTTAACCTCTTAATATAGCCTGAATAGGATTTATGACTTATAATTAACATAGCTCTAAACTGGCCTAACAAGCACTATAAATAGGATCTAAAAATTAATCTGATGCTGCTCCTTATATATTAACATTCCCATTTTTAATGTTTGTGAAGCTATTTCTGAAAGGCAAAAATGGGTCTTAGTACTCTGATAATTTGCTGCTAAAATTGGAAAACTTCCCTGAAGTCTGGCTACAAGTATGTTCATTACTGAGGCGTAGTCTAAAAATGAGTCAACTTTTAGAAACAGTTTTAGAGATATGCTTGCTTCATATAAACCACAAAGCAGGGGCTCGGGAGATGGCTCAGTGAGTGAAGGGCTTGCATCACAAGGTCAAGGACCTGAGTTTGAATGTTCAGAACCCACGTGTAGCCAGGTGTGGTAATGCACAACTGTAATCTCAGTAATCCTGTGATGAGATAGAAAGCAGAGAAAGGAAAATTCCCAGAAGCTCGCAGTCCAGCTAGCCTGGTGTATGCAGTGCAGAGGCAAACAACAAAACGTTCCTGCCTCAAACAAGTTAGAAGGTGAGGACTAACACCTGAGGTTGACTTCTGACCTCCATACACGTGCTGTGGCACCTGTACACATGCCTCCCCCAACACACGCGAGTATCACAATAGAAAATGGACTAAAATTCAGAACACTTCTTGGAAATATCTACATTTTTAAGTAACAATCAGTCATTATGATAAGTACTAAATAAGATCCATATGACCTCAAATCTTGACACAATAACTGGTACATGGTTACGTGTCAATGATTACTGAACAGAATAACCCTCCCCAAATTTCATGTATTCCATGAAAACGTCCTTTTAAATCAGTCTTTGTGTGGCATCCCTTACTTGTCTCATAGTTATATCTACTTTCTATCTTCAAAATTCTCATTTGACATTTATTGAGCATACCATATAATAAGTTACTGGTAATAATGTTAAAGGTTGCTTTTCTAGGTACCTGCCATGTTCAGTCACAGAAGATAGATCTGGTCCCGATCCTCAAGAAATCAGCAACCTGATAAGACCAACCAGACAAGCAAGCAGTAATAAACTAGTGCGGCAGGGCAGCAACACATATGCAGGGTGCCGAGGCCCAGCAAACCTGTGAGCTCCCATCTGACAGTGGGTTGGTTAGGAGAGTTTCTTAGGGGACCCAAGTCTTAAAGGACAAATAGATCAATGAATAATGAAGGTCCTGCTGAGAAAAAGAATAGCATATGAATCAAGGCCATGTGTCTCAGTCGCTGTGGAAAGTTCAGGAGAGCTGGAGTTACAGGGGTTGAAGAAGATAAGGAAGGGGACAAATCATAGACATTTTCCTATCATGTAATAAGCTTACTTAGACTTGATTCCAAAACACTATAGGGTTTTGTGCAGGATGCTGTGTTTGTAATATATTGAAGAAAATCGAGTATGGCAACTTAGAGGAAGGGAAACCATTACCATGTTGTCACATTAATCTTAAGAAATGTTGCTCGCTCAAGCTGAGGAGAAAAAAATGGAAGAAAAACACTTAGAAATATTAAAAATACAGACTATTAAATTATAAATTGATTAGTTGTAGGGGATAAAACGAAGACAAAATTGACAAAAATAAGCCTTACTGCGCAGCCTTTATTTACTCAACTTTTCTTTTTTCCTTTCTTGTGCTACTGGGAACTGAACAGAGGGCCCTGTGCATGTTACACAAGTGCTTCACCACTTAATTACGTCCTTCAGCCATCTGTTTACTTTTTATTTTGAGGTAAAGTCTAAGCTGCCCAAGCTGGTCTTGAACTCACCCTGCTATCCAGGTAGGCCTTGAACTTGTGATTCCCCTGGTCCACAATCATGTTTTGAATTTTTATTTGTGCATTTATTTATTTTTACATGCATGAGTGTTTTGCTTGCATGTAAGTACATTCAGTGTCATGCAATGCCCACAAAGCCAGAAGAGGGTGTTGGATCCCATGGAACTGGAGTGACAGATGGTTGTTAGCCACTATGTAGGTGCTGGGAACCAAACCTGGGTCCTCTGCAAGAACAGCCCATGCTCTTAACCACTGAGCCATCTCTCTAGCCCCTTCAGGTGTGTTTTTAAACTTTGTTTGAGACTCTTTCTCACAAGATCCTGGGACTCACCATGATCTGGGGGCTCATGCATTAGGTTAGGCTGCCTGGCCAGCAAACTCTAGAGAACATGTCTTCACCTCCTCAGTGCTAAGAATACAAGCCACCATGCCTGGCTTTTTATGGGTGCTGGAGATCAAACTCAGTTCTTCATACTTTTGTGGCAAGCATTTTACTGGAAGCTGTCTCCTCATCCCTTACATTTTCATCATTTTAAAATGTACAATACAGTAGTATTTACAACAGTCATGATGTGCAAATCTTTACCACTATGTACTTGCTAAATATATTACCACTAAAGGAAAGCTTGTACCTCTTAAGCATTGACATCTTATCAACCCTGCCCCATCTGCAGGTTCTGGCAATCACCAGTATCTTTCTTTCTCCATGGATTTGACTAATTTGGATATTTTTACCATACAATGTATGTTCTTTGATGCCCAGTGTCTTTTGGCTAGCATACTAGTTTCATGGGTCTTCAATACAATGTAGCATCTCAGTGTTCCATTTCTTTTTAGTGCTATATAAAGTTACATTCTATGGATATACCAATTTTTAGAATCAATTCATTAGATGATAGATACCTAGGTTGCTAGAACCTTTTAGCTATTGTGTATAATGCTGCCATGAAAATTTATATACTTTCCTGTTCAAACATCTGTTTTCAATTTTAAGAATATATATGAGACTAGAATCACTGGATCATATGGTAGTTATATAATTTATTGAAGAACCACCAAACTTCACCACAGTAGCTGACCCAAGTTACATTCCTGCCAGCAATGCATGACAGTCCTGGTACCACTTTTGATTCCTTCTTTTTGTTTCTAGACACAATCACTTCTTTCTATATACAATCACTTTTAAGGCTATTCTGGAGTAAAATATAAAAATAAATTATATAAACTCTAGGTTCTTATAACCTTTCCTATAGTTTGTAATTAACTTCTTAACTGGACTCTACTTTCTTGCTAACTACCTTCTTCAATCTGCATTACACATTTCTGTCAAATTAATCTTAATGCACTGTACCAATGATTTTAGGATATAAAGTGCCAAAAAGCAAGCCCAGCTCATTAGTGTGCTAAATTCTACCATCTGTTTTATGCTACCTTAATTATGATGCACCAAGTTTGAACTCTTTAAATCGCCTTGAAAGTAGCATCCCCGTTGAGCTGTACAGAATAAATTAGACCAGAAATAATTTGGGACAAAATAATGTAACTATTGTAATGAGGCTTCAGAATCACTATCAACATCCACCTACGTTATTCTGCAATAAAAATATGTTTATG